AGCTTTAGGGCCACTGAGTCCAGCCCAGGTTCACCACCGTGTCCCCAAGTGCCACATCCACCTGGTTTTTGAACACTTCAGGGATGGCGACTCCATTGGGCAGCCTGTTCCAATGCCTGAGCACCTTTTCCATGGAAAAAATTTGCTTTAATATCAGATTTCAGCCTCACTGAGGCCGTTTCCTCCCTCCAGCCCTGCTGCTGGCACCCCCAGATTCCCTCAGGATCCCCCCCGGAGCAGCAGCCTGTCCTGCCCACTGCCTGGGAAGATCTGCAGGATTTTAGGATTTCCAGCAGTTTGTACAAAACCCAAAGGGTGCAAACCAAGCTGTTACAACACCAGGAGGTCCCTGTGAATTCCAGGCTGGATGAAACCCTGGACCAGGCAGGGACTTCCCACCCTGTTCCCAGCTCCAAGCTGCTGCTGCTGTTTCTCCCCCTTCCTCAGGATGTTTTCTCCAGCTTTCTTTATTTTTTTTTTTTATTTTTTTTTTAGGGAACAGTTTGCTGTGAACAGGCAGAACCTGTTCTGGACACACTCAGAGCTGTTCCCCATCTCCACCATTTGCCAGCACGACTCAGATTATTTTATTTTTTTTTTTTTCCAGGATACTCCAAGCTCTCTCCTGCATGTGGGCTGCCTCACCCAGGGGAGACGTGGGCTTGGAAAAATCACATGGATGGGGCCCACGAGCCAAGCCCTGCTCCCTCTGGATCCTAAACAGGGATCCCAAATCTTTGGGGTCCCTGCAGACCCCACTCCTGGCTCTGATTGCCTTCAATGAAGGACAGACGTGGAACAAAACGTAATATTTTAGGAAAGATCTTCCACATGTTGGGCTTTGGCAGAGTCTGATGGTTTGAAGGGAGCCAAAAAATAACTAATCCTCCCCTCCTTCAGCCAAGGGCTGAGTGGGACCAGAGGGGAGAAAGGGGGGAAAAGAGAAGGAAGGGAGGAAGAGACAAGAAAAAATGGCCAAACTGGAACCAGTGACTCCCAGTTTCCAGCCAGAGCATTTCTAAGTCGTGGACACTGCAAGGGGTGGTAGCACCTCTGGAAGAATTTGTAATTCCTCCAAAAAATGGTTTCATCTGGGGCTTAAAATGATATTTTGGGGCTTAGGAACGTGTTAGTCCTGAATCACCTCCTGACGCCACCACAGCACATCCAGGCCAGCAAAATCCTCCCACTCCCAGTCCCCAGCATGACCTTTCCCCGTGGAAGTTGAGGAAAAACAGCATAAAAACCACCCCACGACGGGTTCAGTGGGAAAGGAGGGTGGAGGATGACCTCAGGAATTTGTTCTTTTTGCTTTGCTGGGTAAATAAAACGGATTTGGGGAAACGGAGCCGAGGAAGGAGGCGACACATGTCGCACACAGGGGTGGGATGAACTGAAAGGGTTTAAGCTCAGCGATGGAAAACACCATCCGTGCCAAATTTATCTGGAATTGAAAGCAGGGGCAGGAAAGCAGCAGGAGCAGAGGGGGAATTTGCGATTCCTGAACCCTTCCCAAAACGCATCCACAAAACCTCCCAGCGGCGGACGGGAGGCGGTGGGAAGGAGAATTCTGCTGGGGAGGCTTGGGAATGGCCATTGCTTCCTCTGAGGGAGGAAAAAGGAGTTTGTGAAGCCTCTTGGAGGCCCGTTCCCACACGGAATTATGGAATTGTGGAGCAGCTGATGGAAAATCCCATTCCTCCGTCCGGGGCTGCTCCAAGCCCGGCGCTGGGCGCTCCCAGGGCTGAGCTCCAAGGGCACCGCACCAACTCCTCGAGCCTGGCTGCGATTCCCGAACCTCTGGAGCTTTTCCCAGCCCTTTTCCCTCCCGCTCCAGCCGCTCTGCAGGAACCGGGAGCTTCCCGAGGCCGCCGCCGGGGTTACCGGGGTTACCGGGGCCGCTGCTCCCGGCGCTTCCTCCGCCTCTCCCGGCCGGTTTAAGGCTGGATCCGTCCCGGTTGTGCGGGCGGGTTTTGGGGAGGGGGAAACACCCCCAGTGACCCCCAGGTGTCACCGCCGCGAAGCCGATTCCCTGCCCGTGTCCCCTCCCCGGTGCCACCGGGAGAACGGCTCCCCGCACCGAGCCCCGCCCGGGGGTCCCGGCTCCGCTCACGGCCCGCACCGAGCCCCGGGATCACACCGAGAACCGGGAGGTACGAGCCCGGGATCCCGGGGGGTGCCAGGCTGGGCACCGGCGGGTACCGGGGGATGCCCGGCGGGACCAGCACCGGGATAACGGCGGGGAGCGCGCAGCGCCGGGGCAGCAGCGGCCGGGATGGGTTCTCCGGACCGGTAAGGGATGATCGGCCCGGCCGCAGCGCAGCGGCGGCGGGAGCGGGCGCGCGGTGCCGGTGTCTCACCTGGGTCGCTTTGTAGAACTGCTTCTTCAGCCCCGCCACCGACATGGTGCCGGTGCCGGTGCCTGGCCCGGTCTGCGGGCGGCGGGACCTGGCGCTGGGGGCGGCGGGAGCCTCGGGAGCCTCAGGACGCTCCGCCCGTCCCAGCCCGGCCCGGCCCGTCCCCGCCGCCGCTTCCGCCGCCGCCCCCGGCCGCCGCCACCAGCGAGCGGCGCGGCCGGAGCGCCGCGCGGGGCCGGCGCGCCCCCTGCCGGCCGGGCGGAGCCGAGAGAGCCGTTCTGTCGCGACACGCGCGACGGGCGCTCGTGGCGGGGAACGGCGGTGGCGCAGCCGTGGATTTCTCGTGACGGACGAAGCACCGCCCGCCGGGAGCGGACCGGGTGCGCCGCACGGGGACGGCGGTGCCGGGACCCCCGCTATAGTAATGGGGCGACAGAGCTCCAAATGGAAAACTACAGCTCCCAGCATCCCTCGCGACAGCGGCGCGCTTATTGGCCGCTGGTCCCGCCGCCATTTCGCGCGGTGGCTCGATGCCCGTAGTAGCGCGAGGGGCGGCAGTGCTGGCTCCACCCTCTCCTCCCGGTGCTGCGGACAGGCTCCTCCGGCCCGGGACCGGCCCGCCGCAGCGCCGTTCCCGCCCGGTGAGCGGGCATCCCTCGGGCCCAGCCCCGGCACCCAGCGGCGCCCCGCCGGCCCTTTACAAAACCGCCCAATCAGCGCCCGCAGCGCGCCGGACCGACACCCCCCTCCGCCAATCAGCGGCGCTGACGGCGGCGACCAACCGAGAGGCGAGGCGCCGCGGGGGAGCGTGGCCGGGCGGGTCACGTGGGGCGCGCTCCGCCAATCAGCGGCGCGGGACGCGGGGTCGCCCCGGCTCCCGCCAAGTACGAGCGGGACGGGCCGGGCGGGACCGGGCCCGGAGCCGCGGGCGCTGCGCGGGCCGCGCCGCCTCACGGGCCGGCCGGCACCGCCGCCAGCCGCGCCGGCCGCCGCCGCAGGTAGGGCGCAGCCCGCGGGGCGCGGCGCGGCCGGGGCGCGAGGTGTTTCCGGCGGCGGTTGGGCCGCGGGGGTGCGCGGGGCCTGCCCCGGGTAACAAAGGAGGTGCCGGAGCTGCCGCCGCGCCCCGGGGCTGGGCCCCGGCCCGCCCCGCAGCCTCGCTCGGGGAGTCACGGACCGGTTTGGGTGGGGAGGGATCCGAAAGCTCGTCCTGCCGTGGGTAGGGACGCTGTGTGCTGCGCCGGGGTGATGCAGCCTGGCCCTGGGCACTGCCAGGGGCAGCCGCAGCTGCTCTGGGCTCGCTGTGCCAGGGCCTGGCCGCCCTCACAGGGAGGAATTTCCTCCTCGCTTCTCCTCGGGGCCTCCTGGGGACGTTCCTGCTCTGCCCAGCCAGGAGGAGGCTGCGGCTGCTGGGAGCTGGTGGCTCGGGGGTGACAGTGGGACCCCTTTGTCCTCCCTCGCCGGCCCTGGGAGAGCTGCTGGGCTCGGCCTCAGCTGTCTCAGAGAAAGCCCCGGGTGCTGATTTGTTGTTTTCTCCCGTAGCCATGGAGTGCAGAGACAAAGCTGCTGTTCCTCCACGGAAGCTCGTCCAAGGTAAGGGAGTGTCTCTCATCCAGCACGGTTTTAGCAAGAACATCTCAGATGTGATTTTGTGGAATACATTGGCTGCACAAATGGGTTTTATGGGATTGTTTTGGGATTGGCTTGGCTGTGATTAAAGCATCTCTAAGTGGCTTATCTCAGTCTTATTCTTAAAAATGAATGAAACCCTTTGTCACCTCGTGGCTCTAACCTGGTGTTGTTGTTGCAGCTCGGCTGCCCTTCAAGCGCCTCAATCCTGTGCCAAAGGAAAAACTCGATGTGAATCCAGAGGTCAAAAAAGTCAAGAGCTCCCCGAGTGCTTTTGTTCCCAGCAAGGATCCCTCCCTGGATGCCTCAGGTGCCTCCCTGGACGATGTGGAGAATGACTGCCAGCTGAGCTCAGATGGGAATTTGCCTCCAAAACTCATGAATGGAAAAGGTCCATTGGACCATTTTATCCAGAAAAACCCAGGAGGTGACACGAGTGACCCCGGGGATGTTCCTGACCTCTCCAAGGGCTCTGCCCACGGACTCGGGGATGGCACGGAGCAGGAGGCTGTGGATTCTAGAGCTGCTGTCAGCAATGGCACCATAGGAAAGGAGCTGAGCTGCCTGAGCTCCTCGCAGAGCAGCCCAACAGGTGACTCCACGCAGACTGAGGGGCCCTGCGCAGCTGCAGCCAAGGCAGAGCAGGATTTGGGAGCTGGGAGCCAGCCCTGCTCCGGCCTCACGGCCTGCAAGGACGTGGCAGGCAGGAAGGGCACTCCAGGTGAACTGAAGGATGTGCTTTTTGAGGGGAAGGTGCCCGTGGTGCTGCTGGAGGACATCATGAGCCTGAAATCCCCCCAGGTGGCCTCTCTGGATGGCAGCACCGCCTCGGAGAGCGAGGCCCTAGAGTCGTCCCACGAGGGAGACTCGGGACTGACCAACTCCTCACTGAGCTCCGGGAGCTCCCCCGAGCTCCTGGCACAGACCAAGGGCAGCAGCATTCCTCTGGCTGCCTCCACACCTGCCAGGAAGGTTGGTCTGCTCTGGTTTGGGGTGCAAGTTGCTGTGGTGCAACGTTTGGGTTGCTGGGATTGTGGGGAGGAGGTTGAGTGGGGCAGTGAGGAGCGTTGGGAAGGTGGTGGTGGTTGATTACTGATTTGTTGCCCTTTGGAGTCTTTAAATCCTGCAGCTCAAGGGTTTGATTCTCTCTGCTTCTGGCTGCTGCTGGATTTACATTTCTTTAATGGAATACCCACTTGACACTTGGTGTTTTGGGAGCAGCAGTTTTGTACTTTAGGTGTTTTTTCCCAAGCTCTGTTTCATCCCCCTCCGAGCTGCTGGGATTCCTGTGAGGATGTTCCCCCAGCACAGCCAGTGCAGATGTTTTTTCCAGCTCTGAATTTCCTGCAGCTGCCATGGAAAAGCCCTGGCACAGATTTCCCAGAGCAGCTGCCCTGCCTCATCCCTGGCAGTGCCCAAGGCCAGGCTGGGTGGGGATTGGAGCAGCCTGGCACAGTGGAAATGCCCCATGGATGGGCTCTAAGGGCCCTCCCAACCCAAAGCATTCTGATTCTATGAAAAACCTCTGGATGAGGGGGTTTTTGTTCACCTGAGTTTCAGTTTAGCAGCTCTGCTTCAGCAGGAGGCCCCCAAACACTCTGATTTTTGGGGCAGTTTGGACAGAGAAGCTTCCAAGAGCAGCAGCACCACCACGGGGATGGTTCTCCCAGTCCTTTCGTTGTGTCTATCAAGTCAAGCGATCAATTCTTCCTCTCTGAAAACTCTCAGTCTTCCACCCCTAAAATAAACAGACTCAAGCAGGCATGAAGTATTTCCAGTGTAGCAGAACAACAAAAAGCAATCTTGGTGTAACCCAGTACTGCCAGTGGGGCTGGATTTGCTCGTCTGCTGCTCCCCAAAATGAGGGGCTGCACCCCAAGCTGTGCAGCTGCGAGTCCTGGCAGGTTTGTTTTCCTGGGAGGAAGCAGCTCTGAGGAGCTGAAGCCCTCACTTGACAGAACTCCTGTTTTATGGCAGCTAAATATAGAAAATAAAGCAGTTGGGCTGTGTTAGCCTGTTAATCACAATTTCACAATGTGATGCTGTGAATGGCAGGAGGAGGAGGGGGGGATCCAGTCAATCAAGTCACAGTGTGCTGAAATATTGACAATCTTTAACCAGTCTATGAGCAATGATCTTAAGCATAAACCACCTTTTTCTTTCCCCCATAAATAAAAGAAAAACGGGAAGTGTGCCCTGTTTGGAATTTAGGGTCAGTGAGCTGTTCCTGGTGGAAGATCAAGTGGACTGTGATGGCAAGAAGAAATTGTAAAAATGTGGAAAACACTCCTTGTATTCATAAAATTACAGCTAAATACTAAATATCACAGCAAGATAGGTGGAGGCCAAGAAAAAAAAAAACCCAAACAAACCCAATTTTAGCTGGAAGGAAGCGAGTTTGCCATATTGAAATGTCCCCTGTGGTTCAGAGCAGCTCCCCTGGGTGCTGTGCACGTGGTGTTCCCTTGCTGAGGGGACCTGAGGGGTTTGTTCATGGGAGCAGGAGCCCTGGGATGGGAATGGGGAGATTGGAAATTCCCAAGTTTTGTCCTCATTCCCTGCTCTGGGGGAATTTGGAGTGACTGGCTGTGATCTGCAGGAGCGGCCCGGTGTCACTCAGGCTGGGAAGGCAGGAGCAGGATCTCCTCTAAAACTTGCATTTTGTAATTCCAGGTACCTCAGAAATTCCACAGAAGTTCAGCAGAGAAGGAGAAGCTGAGATTGCAAAGAGTAAGGCATTTCCCTGACACCCAAACCTCCCCTGAGGAGCCGACCAAGGCCTTTGCCTTTTATCTCAGCCCAGCTGGAACATCTCTTTTGCCATTTTTCCTCACCCTGAGGAGCGTGGAAGGACCTTTAATGCAAGCAGTTAAAGTGCTTGCCTCTTTCCAAAGCTCCTGAGTGGAGCCCTGGCTGCGTCTGGGGCTCTTTGGGAAGAAATTAGAAACTCTGAAGCCCTAAAAATTTAGGTTTTGTTTTTATTAATACACGAGGCAAGTGGAGCCACTGTGTCTGTGGCTTCCCAGAGAATGTCACCACTGGATGCCACCACTGGGAATGCTCAAGCTCCAGGTTGTGTTTGCTAGGATGCAGCTCCTCAAGCTCCCTCATTCTGCTGCCACTCATGGAATGCTGGATGTGGAGGAGGCTGAAGGGTCACTGGAGTTCCCAGTGCTGCACCAATGGTTTTTTTTGGGATTGTTTTTTCTGCCCCTGGGAAGGTTTGTGCTGAGAATTCTGCGTCTCTCAGTGGCTTGTTTATAAACTTGTGTGTTTTATGTAAGCTGTAGCTGGAAAGCTCTTCAGCTTTTCCCAGTGCCCCATATAGAATTCCAATCTGTTGTTTTCTTCCCTTCTATAGCTGTGTTAAAAATAGCAGGGATGGGAGGGGGGAGAGAGGGGAATGGAAGCTAAAAATGATGCTGGGAATGAAGCAGACCCACCAGTGAGCTGTCAGCTTCACACCAGCACCCAGCACATTCCATGACTCAGGCTGACAGTGTTGTTTCCTCGCCATTGGCACCATTTGGCTGTTGGTGGCTTTCTGCACTTATTTGTGTTGTGACACTGCTCAGGAAGCCTTGATGTTGACAAGGAGAGATGTGAAATCAATAAAAGAAAACTGAAAATACCCAGGGAGGAGTTGGAGTGTCTGGGCGCAGGCAGATCCTCCTTTCCTGGTGACATCACCAAGTGCCTGCAGCACAGAAAAAGCTTTTTTCTCTTTAATTTGACATTTTCCTCCTTGGTGTCAGCAGAGCCATGGTGGGAATTGCAGTTGTTTTGGGAGGAAACACCATAAAAGGCAACACTTCCAATAAAATCTTCCCCCCACTGTTCCCAGAGTGCTCCTTGAACAAACTCAGGGCACTGATGATCTAAAATGGAAGAAAACAAGGGATAAACTCCACAATCTGGGGTTTGGAGACTCATTTTATTCCATGAGATCATGGAATATCCCAGCCTGGGGGGGACCCACGAGGATCATCAAAGTGATTTCTGTGATAGTGGAAAGCATCAGAAAATCCTTGTGGGTTTATGATGTCAAATCAGCTCAAATTCACTTGTGGAAGTGACACCACTGTAGCCCTACAATGACACCAAAGCATGAAGAGCTTTGCTCAGGAGGAAATATTTTGGAAAGAATCTGAAATCTCCTATTAAATAAGGGAATAATTACGATTTTTTAATTCCCATCTAATTTTCCATAATGCTACAGTGGTAATGAAGATGACTCAATACAAAAGCTTTCTTTGATGCTTAGAGAAATGAAAATAGCTTTTTTTTTTTTTTTTTTTTTTTTTTTTTTTTTTTTTTTTTTTTTTTTTTTTTTTTTTTTTTTTTTTTTTTGCTAAGGGGAAGGAATAATTAAAGCTTTCAGAGAGGCAGCACAAGGACAAGGAAGCTCAGCTGGCTGCTGCCTGAGGCACCAGGGGGCTGTGGATGTGTGTGGATGTGCTCCCACCTGCTTTCCTGGGAAGGATGAGGGTCTTTCCCATTCCAGGATATTTTGTGATGCTGCAGGTCATGCGCTGGGTGGGTCCAGCTTCCTGTTTGAGCAGTGAAATGTTGATTTTTCACCAGGGCTTTGGGAGCACAAAGCTGCAGTTCCCTGAGTGTCCCCCCCTTTGTGCCCCAGGATCAGGAGCGTGCCGACAAGCTCCAGAAGCTGCAGGCAGAGAGGGAGGAGAAGGGGAGGCTGAAGGAAGAGGCAAAAGCTGCGAAAGAACGAGCCAAGGAGGAGGCAAAGAAGAGGAAAGAGGAAGAGAAAGAGTTGAAAGAGAAAGAAAGGAGGGAAAAGAAAGAAAAGGAAGAGAAGGAGAAAGCTGAGAAGCTGCGAGCGAAGGAGGAGAAGCGCAAGGAGAGGCAGGAGGCTTTGGAGTGAGTGCCTGGGCTTGTGAGCAGCTCCTGGGGGTCCCTGTGCTGATGTCCAGCCCCACTTTCCCTGCCCTCCTGCTGCAGCAGCACGGGCCTGGGCTCAGGGGGTGGCTCTGAAATGCTCGTGGGACTCTGTGGCCCCATCCCAGCAGTGCCTTCTGCTGCCCCGAGCTCCCCCTCCTCACCTGCCTCACTTGGGCTGTTTGTTGAGGAAGTTACCTGTGATTTGGCAATCCCTGGATTGCCCTGGCATCAAGAGAAACTTGGGACAGCCTGTTAACTTGAAATGGGGTCAATATTTGCTCTGGAAGGAATGAACAAGGTCTTCTCTACGCTTAACCAAGCGTGGTTCTCAGCTGCATTGACAGATGATCCTCGTGGTGGGGTCTGGGGCTTCCCACCTCAGTGCAAATATTGGTGGGTGCCAATTCACATGATCTTTGTTTTCAAGGGCAAAACTCGAGGAGAAGAGAAAGAAAGAAGAGGAGAAACGGTTAAAGGAGGAAGAAAAGGTAAAAATGTTTTCTCTGCTTTGTCTCTGAATTGTTTCTGGGGTGAAATGCTGTTGGTGGAGCAGATCCCTTTGGGTGCAGCCTGTCCCCCCTGACCTGCTGGAGCTGCTCCAGGCAGATTTTACCTTTAATTTTCACACATATTGGTTCCTTTGCTTTTCCCCCCTCAAGTGTTTTCTCTGTGTGTTTCTTTGCCCACAAGTGAACTCTCCCCTGGCAATGTGACACTGCAGCCCTGCCTGTGGCAGGGAGGACCACGAGTGTTTCTGTTGAGTCACAGGAGCTGGTGACTGCCTGAACTTTGCTTTGTGCCTCGTTGCATTTGAAGTTGAGCCATGCGTGAGCTCACCTGGAATTCCAAAGTTTTGTCCTGTCTCAGAGTTGCATTTGGGTTCTCATTTCAGCGCATCAATGCACAGAAAGCAGAGATCACCAGGTTCTTCCAGAAACCAAAGACTCCACAAGCCCCCAAGGTGAGGGATTGCTGTGCCTGTGTGTTGGTCTCTCACAGTTATTCCTAATAAATACCCTGATTTCCTTCTCTGCTGCCCCTTACAGCTTCTTAACGTGGTCAAAACATTGTTTTTCCTTAATTTCCTGGTCTCAAAAGCGTAAAGGATTTTAAGAAAAAGGCCAGAGCAGAGACTACAGAAGGCATTTGTGGTTGGTTTAGTGAATCTCAGCTCTTCTTCATTGCCTGGAAGATCTGCTGGAGTCTTGGACAGGAAGAGCTTAACCTAAACCTTCACTTAACCTGAATCAACACCTCAGCAGCAGGTGTCTCTAGCATGTGTTGGTGCTGCAGCTTCTCAGTGTCCAAACCCTGACGTTCCTCACTTGATGTTTCAGACCCTTGCTGGCTCCTGTGGGAAGTTTGCTCCTTTTGAAATTAAGGAGAACATGGTCTTAGCCCCCCTCAGCCGTGTTGCCCTGGATCCAGACGACCTGGAACAGCTGGATAAGCTCCTGCATGCCCAGAATGGTGAAGATTCTTTCTTGAAGGATCTAAAATGTCGTAAACCACGAAAAACTGGGCCCACTTTGGTCAGTGACAGCAGTGACAGTGTCAACAGGTCAGTGTGCACTCGGGGGCTTGCTTTGCTTCTGTTTCCTGAAACGAGCTGCAGAGGGGATTTGGGGCTTGATGTTGGAGAGGAGGGAAGGCTGGAGCTGTTCTGTGGGGCTGAGCCACCTTCCCCTGTGTTCCCAGTGACGTGGTGGTGGTGGTGGATACCTGCCAGCCCGATGCTGTTCCTGAGAGGGAGAAGTTTGGCAGGATGAAGCTCCTGCAGTTCAGTGAGAATCACCGCCCTGCCTACTGGGGCACGTGGAACAAGAGAACCTCCCTGATCCGTGCCAGGAATCCATGGTCCAAGGACACTGTAAGCACCTCAGCCTGCTGGATTCTTTATGCTCTAGAAATGAATGTTCTTGGCCAAGTCCTCTGCTTCCCTGGGATTTCTGAGCCATTTTGTTCCCTCAGCTTTGAAAGCCCAGAGTGGGTTTGGTGCTGTGCTCTCCAGTGACGGGCAGAAATGTTGGCATTTCTTGCAGAAACTGCTGGACTATGAAGTAGACAGTGATGAAGAGTGGGAAGAGGAGGAGCCAGGGGAAAGTCTCTCCCATAGTGAGGAGGTGAGGATCCTGCGTGCTGAAAAAAATCAGGAGCCACTTGCACTTGGCAGTGTAACTTCTCATCCGTTTATTTGTAGGATGATGAAGAGGAGGGAGAGGATGAAGATGAGGACGATGGGTTTTTTGTACCCCATGGGTACCTATCTGAAGATGAAGGTGTGACAGAGGTAAGGGAGCTGGCTGTCCCTGAGTTTCCAGAGAGCTGTGTCGTGTCAATATTGGCAGGGGAGATGAGCAGGGCCCTGGCAGGGCTGGGCTCCCTCAGGCCTGCACGGTTCAGGAGCGCTGTGTGGCTCAGGGAACACAAGGCTGGCTTTAAAAAGCTCTTTATTTTTTTCCCTAGTGTGGGTGTAACGAGTCTTTTGTCCCCTGTGGCTGCAGGAGTGTGACCCAGAGAACCAGAAGGTTCGTCAGAAGCTGAAAGCAAAGGAGTGGGATGAGCTGATAGCCAAGGGGAAGAGGTTCCACGTCCTCCAGCCTGTGAAGATTGGCTGTGTCTGGGAAAGGGCAGCAAAGGACAACAGCACCAACCCAGACCTGAAGGTGCTCCAGCAGTTCACAGCCTGTGTCCTGGATCCACCTGTGCCAGAGGAAGAGCAGCAGACACAGAAATGTAGCAAAAAAAGAGCAAAAGATCAGCAAAGTAAGACCTGAAGGGCTAGACAGTACTTCCACACTTGTACTCGGCTTTGGAGGGAGTAGGGGGATTATTGAGTGTTGTATTCAGAATGATCTGTTTCTGACAAGTCTGGAATCCAAGGAATCTCTGAGAGCTCTTGGAAAGGAATTTTCTGGCACTGCCTCTCCAAAAAGTCTTGCTCTGGGCAATATAGGAAATAAAGCCAACCAGACTTGAGCAAACTCAAATTTAAGGACAGGCTTGAGCCTGCTTATTGTTTGGGGGAAAGGGTTTGGTTCCAGTCAAGAGCTTTTCCTGCACCTGATTAACACAAAGCTGTGAATAACACATAAAAGCCAAGCCAGGGGGTGGGGATTTACTCCAGGGTGGTGTTGTTATTGGGGGTGAGTTTTCTACATTAAATCTAGGTGCTGTGACAATCATGGAATCCCAGTTTGGGTTGGGAGACACCTTAAAGACCATCCAGTTTTTGCCATGGGCAGGGACACCTTCCCCTTGCTCCAAGCCCCATCCAACCTCACCGTGGAGCCTTCCAGACACGAGGCACCCCCAACTTCTCTGGGCAATCCCATCTCTAAAACCAATCCTGGTGTTTTCACCCCTGCTCTGGAGAGCTTTTGCTGATTTACATTCCCTTGGTTTTCCCAACTTTTAACCCATTATTTGCCACCTTTTCCCCCTCACAGTCCTGGGCCAGCTCCTGCTGCTGCTGCACGGGAACAGGGGTCAGGCTGTGCTCCCAGGGGACAGCAGGACACGAGGGAACAGCCTCAC